TTACTTGTTGTATATACCATTCCGACTCCTTGACTTCTATATGTAATAATCAGTTTTAAAGAATGGATGAATGAAAATTACCTTGATCCTACTGAAGAAGAGGAAACTGAAACGACAAAACTTTTTAAACACTATCCCACCATTAACAAATTTTTTTCAAATAAATGCTGCTTCGGCACCTGTGGCACCAGAGGAAGTGGGCATTGTTGGTTCTTCCAGTACGAGTAGCAGTGTTTGTATAAGCACAGATACGGTTTCATTTGCTTTGACATTATTATTACCGAATGATGACGGAGTTAATGAAAAAAATAAGATGGAACATCTTACACTTCTTGAGCAGGAAGAACTTCATGAAACGAAATTAGAGCCCAACGATAACGATGTAATATTAGGTAGGTATAATATAGGTAATTTACCAATATTAAATTATCATTTTTTTTATTGCGACATATAAATAATAAAGCTTGTACCTATTTTTATTGTAGATTCAGAAATAAGTTTACCAGATTTTAAAGATCTAGCCCTATGGAACACTGGTCGAGATATTGAAATAATTCTAGAGTTTTGGAAACGTCAGAATTTGGAAAAAATTAATTTTTCCAAATCCAAGAGGCCATTTAAAGGCCAAAACAGGTGGGAAAATAAACAAATGTTCCACAGAAAGTTAGTGAATTGAGAAATTTTACGTCGAGATTAGGCAATATATTCTGAAAGCACAGGTAATGTGTACTGCCTTTATTTTATGTTATTTGGTGGTTCAGTCAACCAGTTTAAGAGAGGTTTTTCATCTTGGAATAGGCATAAAGAAAGGTTTGATGAACATGAACGATCATCCGAGCATATAAACAATCTAAGAATATATATTGCGCACTCTTTTACTACTGAAAGAATTGATAATAAACTTGAAATAGTATGTAATGTAGCAAAGGAGTATTGGATTAACGTATTAAAAAGAATTATTAGCGTTATAAAATGTTTAGCAACACAAGAGTTAGCATTTAGAGGTAGTAATGAAAATATAGCGAAGATAATAACGGCAATTATTTGGGTGCGATTGAACTTTTGTCTGAATATCATCCTTTTTTAAAAGATCATATAATGAAACTTGCAAATCCTGGAAAGGGCACCTTTTCTTATTTATCAAAAGATATTTGCGATGAGTTTATATGGATTTTATCAAATAAAGTTTTAAAGGAAATAGTAAAACAGATTAAAGTTAATAAGTATTATTCAGTAAGCGCGTGGATTCTACGTCAGATATAACCCACCATGACCAGCTTACAATTATATTGCAATTTTGTAAAAGTAATGGGTTACCAGTTGAGCACTTTATTAGATATATCACTGTACCAATTAAGAATTTTCGCAGAGAAAACAGTTGGGCGTCTCGTCTCACGAAGATTCAGCCTGTTGGTAATCAGTAATAAGAAGGGGTGGTGGACTGAGGACTGTTTGATTATGTGTTTTTCGTTATTTGTCTATTTAATATTTTTATGGTTTATTTTTATTTAGTTTCAACAGTTCCTAAATGTTTTAAACATAACATGTCAATATTTTAGAATATGGGCATTAGCAATATTTTTCGTTATTTGTTTATTTATTATTTTAATAGTTTATTTTTACTTAATTTGAACAGTTCCTTAATGTATTAGTGATAGTATTTATTAAGATAATATTGTAGAAAACAAGAATGGTAACTTATGTTTTAGACTGGTATTTTGTTTTCATTCCATTTTTCTTTGATCTCATTTTTGTCATTTTTGCTTGTTTTATATTATTATTTTTGTTTGTTTTATATTATTTTTGTTTACCTACTAGTTTTATAGCTGTTTTTGACCGTAATTATGGTTTATTGATATTGTGACGTTATAAATAATTTTGAATTCTGTAATTTGTTTTTTTTTTTTAAATAATATAGAAATTCAATAATATAAGATGTATAAATTATTAATAGATAGGGCGGCGATTACAAGTAACACCGGGCGCAAAAGTACCTTAAACCGGCACTGCATGGCCACCTATATGATAAATAAACAAATTTTATTATTACTTTAAAATAGATAAGCAACAAAGCTGTCAAGTTGTCCGCTCGGCAAGCGACAAAGCTGTCGCTTAATGTCAGTTCGCGGAAAACGTTAATTTGGCGGTTGTATTGTTACGGTTCAAAATCCATATGAATGTACTGGGATGCTTTTA